AACATATATATAACTTATATCTAACATATATATAACTTATATCTAACATATATATAACTTATATCTAACATATATATAACTTATATCTAACATATATATAACTTATATCTAACATATATACACTCGTAAATCGTTCATGTTTGTCTCAGATATTTACCACTATTATTGTTTTGCTGTTTGTGCTGAAAACTATTTAATAATAACTATGTTTCCAACAGAACTGTGTCTTTATTCACAGCATCACAGTTGAAATGACTTATAAAATAATGAATCCATAAAACTATCACATAAACCTACAGTAGAAACACGTGTAATGAGCTCAAACAGCTTTGTTTGTTATTGTTGATCTGAAGAGGACAAAGTAGCAGCGTAAATGAGACCGCTCCTGTGTGATCGCCCTCATGTGGTTTGTTGTGGGATTACAACATTCTCCTCAAAACTCCGTAAGGGGAGCGCACCAGTATAACATACGTGCTTACGTAGGTCCACCGCAACCGCTAACGTAAGCCACGCCGCGCAAGTATACACTAGGCTTTAGCCACGCCGCGCAAGTATACTCTAGGCTTTAGCCACGCCGCGCAAGTATACTCTAGGCTTAACCGCTGAGTCTCTGAGCCATGTACCGATACGAGTACCTTCATTTGAATACTTTCTGATACCGATACAAGTGCTGCTTTGTGTTATTCCCGGGAATTCATAAAATTTGTTACTGAAATCTAAAAGTTTTTTTCTTATTTCAACAATAAAAAAATGCTTTAACAATAACAGTGAACAATAAGAGCCACTGCCATGTTCCACTCATACACATGCTTTGTTGTAGAGTTGGATTTGTGCTGCGGTGCTAGCTCCTGTGCTAGCTGCGGTGCTAGGGTCCTGTGCTAGCTGCGGTGCTAGCTCCGGTGCTAGCTGTGTTGCTAGTGTCCTGTGCTAGCTGTGGTGTTAGCTCTTGTGCTAGCTGCGGTGCTAGGGTCCTGTGCTAGCTGTGGTGCTAGGGTCCTGTGCTAGCTGTGGTGTTAGCTCTTGTGCTAGCTGCGGTGCTAGGGTCCTGTGCTAGCTCCTGTGCTAGCTGCGGTGTTAGCTCCTGTGCTAGCTCCTTTGCTAGCTCCTTTGCTAGCTCCTTTGCTAGCTGCGGTGTTAGCTCCTGTGCTAGCTCCTTTGCTAGCTGCGGTGTTAGCTCCTGTGCTAGCTCCTTTGCTAGCTGCGGTGTTAGCTCCTGTGCTAGCTCCTTTGCTAGCTCCTTTGCTAGCTGCGGTGCTAGCTCTGATCTATCCTCCGTGTGGTGGTGAGTTTTCAGATGTTTGATCTAATGTGAAATAAAATTGTTGATATCTGTTGCCGGCATCGGGTCCTATGGTATCAGAAAAAGCCTATGGTACCGACCTGAGACCAGTATCGTACCGGTGCATCCTTGACAATAACCAAAGAAGACTTCAAAACTCGCACTTCATTATTGACTCATTACTAATGAATCTTGTACAAAACCTGTGCAGAGATGATTCTCGTGTACAGACTTTTCCCCATAGTTTAGTTCTGAAATGTACTCCCTGTTTCTCTACATAATTAATGCAGGAATGTGGTGAAGACAACAGAGACCAGCGACGCTTTTCACACCATAAGAAGAAATTAAACGCTAAAGACACGCTGTACAAAAGGTTCAAGCTCATTTCTAGTCACAATATCAGAGGTATTTATGTCTATACTGATTTATAATAAATAATCTTACAGATAAAAATGTAGAAATATTATGCACAGTAATGAGACAAGTCTAAAGGACACAGACCTGGAGGTTTATATCTGAATATTTTGGGTTCCTGGAGCAACCACAGTTATTATAATAGATCCATGATTCAGATGGACAATGCTAACGTTAGCTCAATGAAACCCGATAGGGAAGTGCCCAAGAACGAAGTTTGGCTCTAACTCGCTCTGGCTCCACTGACTTTCATGTAAAAGTAAACTCCTCTCGCTCAACTGTGCCGCACTCACCATTTTGGGCTGAAATCTGTGTTTATTGCTCTCTGTGATCCTCCTGTTTTTATGTGATTTGTTGAGCCACATAAGGACTGACCAATCAGATGCCTTCATTTGTGGCTTACCTTAGCAACCGTCTTAGTAACACGTATGCCCCTGTTACTGAGGGAAACTAGCTCCAGCTTATGTTCAAATCCCCCTGTGGTGATGTCACACTGTGGTGATGTCACACTCGGTCAGTCCATTCCTCAAACACTCTATAATAGACCTAAGACACTTGATACAGTTTTATTAATACACCCTGAAGCCACAGCTGGTCTGAGACAGCTCAAGCCAGGGGTCTCTACTCTACTCTACTCTACTCTACTCTACTCTACTCTACTCTACTCTACCCTGTTTTGGCCATCTTGCTCCTGATACAGCACAGCACCCAATCCAGCAGTGCTGGCATCTGTGTGTAGCAGGTAGGGTTTGGACGGGTCTGAAAAACCAAGGATTGGAGCTGAGGTGAGTTTGGCAATAACGTCCTCGAAAGCTTTCTGACAGGTCGATTCACGAGGATTCAGATAAAAGTCTGTCCGCTTATTCGATTTACGGTTCCTCTGGGTAGGTGGATATCCGGACGTCAGTTCATTCAATGGTCGTACAATAATGGAGTAGCCATGGACAAACCGTCTGTAGTACCCAGCAAAACCCAAGAAGGATCTCAATTCCTTCAGGTTTTTCGGAACCGGCCAGGTCTCGAGAGCTGCGACCTTCTCTGGATCTGTCTGTACACCGTGTCGTGACACCACATGCCCCAGGTATTTGACAGATGTTTGGCAGAAAACACACTTCTCAACGGAGAGTTTCAATCCGAATTCTTTCAGTCTGGTGAGAACTTTCATTGATCTTTTCTCATGTTCTTCCAACGTGGGGGCAAAAACAATGAGATCGTCAATAAACACCAAGACTTCTTTAAAGTTCATTTCGCCCATGCATTTCTCCATTAGTCTCTGAAATGTACTAGGGGCATTTGTCACTCCCTGGGGCATGCGATTAAATTCCCTGAAGCCTAAAGGACAAACAAACGCCGTTTTGCACTTATCAGCTTCGTCCATTTCTATTTGATAATAGCCAGATTTCAAGTCAAGTACAGAAAACCATTGTGATCCAGACAGTGCTGTGAATGCATCATCTGGTTTGGGCAGGGCATAAGCATCTTTGATAGTTTGAATATTTAAGTTTCGGTAATCAATGCCGTTCTTTTTCCGGACTACAACGATTGGTGAAGCGAAAGGAGAATTTGACTCTCTAATCACACCAGAACTGAGCAGTTCCTGAAGATGCTGGCGTACAGCATCCAGATCGGAAGGATGAATTGGTCGTGGTCTTTGTTTAAAGGGTGTGGGATCTGATAACTTGATCTGATGCTTGACTTTATCCGTGCATCCAAAATCGAGGTCAGTTTGAGCAAAGACTTCTGGGATGGTGTTCAGCATTTCAATAGGCATTTCAGCAGGGGTGAATTCCCAAAGTTGTAGTTGAAGACGAGTGTGGCAGTGTGAGGAGGGGTAACTGGGACAGCATTTGGATCTTTAGGAACAACAGACTGTATGGCACTCAATTCCGCAACAGAAGCACGTGGGGAAAGGGTGAGGTCATGCTCAGACTCATTGCAGACTATCACAGGGAAATGGTAGGGTGCATGACTAGGCACATCGACAAGACATGACCGCACCATCAGACCACCAGGAACTGTAAAAGTCAGCGGGTGCTCAACAATTATGGATCTGTCATGTTGTGGGAATCGATTGCAGCACCATGTAAGACAACAGTCTGTCCAGCTGGTACTGTTTGGGAAGTGCTGGACACAAGCTTAAGAACAGCATGGTGGTTCAAATGTGTCCATTTGTGTCTCTGTTGAAGAATGTTAATCACTGCTTTGTATCCATAAGGAATGGGACGGAAAGATGGACTGTACTCAAGATGTTCTTCGTAGACTCTGTCTAGAGTGTTCGTTCCAATGAGAACCAATGGGGAAGAGGTCTTCATGTCAGGTACCACAAGAGCAAGCGTCTGAATGTCAACAGCTGAACCCAAAAAATCCTCTGGAAATGTCAACAGGAGCTCCACATACCCAATGTTAAAAGTCCCTCACTACATTACCCATGATGCACTTGTGAATATTGTAGTTCCCCAGGGGCCCTCTCCGGTAGCCGAGTTTAGAGCTATTCATTACGGTGTTAGGAGCAGAGCCTGTGCGAGTGTGTCATGCCATCCGTCCTCCATCCAGTGTATATAAGTTCTGTGTGCGTTTATACAACGTAAGTATTGTGTGCCAATGTATATTTTCTTTATCTCACTGTATATATCCCAAATTGTTGCTCCCTACCTTTAGTTATAATATGTGTCGTGTGCCACGTGCATTTGCAGTAGGAGCGTCCATCGCGTTGGAGCACGCTGTATAATAAGATGCTTTATTATTACATTGTACATAGTTGCTCATGTGTTTATAGTTTAAGGAGTCCATTCCTGTTAAACAAATAATTACTTTCATTTGTCTCTTCTTAAGTCCCACGTGTGCTACGGTTTGTAGAGTTAGAGCACCCCCTTGTGGGGAACGGGTGAAATTCCATTCTGTCATTACATTGTACCTGTGTTTACCTGTGTTTATAGTCAAATGGCTATTTCTAATGTATACTATCTTTCTGTTAATTCCAGATGACCACACACATATACGCACCTATACACAGAAATCTTCACCTGCAACATACCTGTGCTCTTCCATCAATAAACATCACAACTGTGCACCTGGAGTTTGCCTGTTCCTTCTAACCGAGGAAGACTCATCTGACTGTCGTATCCGTTAACAGCGTATCCAAACGCTCACAGTATTTCACAAAGGGTCCTTCGAGCCGGATCGACTATTGGCTGAGTTAACAAGATGGCATCTCCAATCCATACAGAAGAGGCTCATCACAGGGAGAGTCCAATGCATAGTGCCCGTCCACACAGGAGCAGAAAGCTTCCCGGACATCTGTTGCACTATGAACATGATCTACCCGATCCAGAGTCACCTTCTGACCAGCATGCAGATGAATCAGACCAAGAGAACAGGTATAGATGGGAGAAGATGGAGTGTGCGTGGGACCGAGTGCTGAATACAATGAAAGAGATGCAGGTCACCATGAGGGAAACCAGCAGTGCATTGAACAGGCGGGTGGATAAACTAGAGCGACATTGTGACTCCGTTAGTCCTCTCCCTTTGGCCAGTGCACCATCCAGAGCTGCTTCAGTTCCTCCATTGATGAGACAAGACAACATAACTCCGGTGAACCAGTTGAGGCCAGTAGAACCTGCTGCATTGAGTACCCATCATACTGTCCCGCCTTCACCACACTTGTCTCTTCCTGGCTTAAGTCCTGTTATTAAGCATCCTGCACCTCTATATGATCCACATGCACAACAGCAGAGTGCTTTCCTCTCCGTGCTCCAGCCCACATTGAGACCTTCATTCGAACCTGCCCTGCAGTCTGTAGCCCCTCCAGTGAATTCAGCTGCTCCGCAAAGGGACGTTATTCATCCTGCTCAACCTGTCCTTCGTATGGTTCAAGCATCACCACTGAACAGAGTCGAACCACATCGAGCAGAACCTCTGTACATTCAGAGCGCCCAACCTCAGCCACCCCCATCTAGCTCTAACCAAGTGTCCACAGCACAGCCCTACAATCATGCAGTATACAGCCAACATCAGTCTGCACCCCCGTATCCACCGCAGGGGGGAGAGGCCTATATACATAATGTAGCTCCGCCCACTAATGCAGCCAGTCATGGTGCTACATATCCATACGCCTCTAATTACCCTCAGCAGCCAGCTCCACATCATATCCCCCCAGTTGCAGTGGCACAACCAAACCTCATGGAGATGATAGTGGCATCTTCATATGGCATCCCTAAACCTAAGCTTGTAACATTCAAATCAGGCAGAGAGAGTGACTTTGCACTGCTAAAGAAGGGACTGGACAGTTTACTGGGGCCACACACTCATCTCACAGAGGAGTATAAATATCACATTCTGCTAGATCATTTAGAGCATCCCTGTGCTGTGCAGGTAGCCAGGCGCTACATTCATGACCACACCCCCTACAGCAGTGCGATGAGAGCGCTGCTGCAAAGGTATGGGCAGCCGAGGCAATTAGTCCAGAGTGAACTGAGTGCTATACTAAACTGCTGTCCTATTAAAGCCGGTGACAGTAAAGCCTTTGAAGATTTTTCCCTATCTATTTCCAGCCTGGTTGGCCTTCTCAGTTCCATGGATGAGGTAGCAGCGAGTGAGCTCCATTGTGGTTCACATGTAGACAGACTACTTAGTAAACTCCCTCCCAGCTACCGGGACAGTTTTATTGAGTATTGTATCACACGTGGCATCATACGCTCCGGCAGCAGTCACACATACAACATGTATAACCTATCCGAATGGCTGGAGCGTAAATCACATGTTTTGCAGCTGTCCCGACAAGCCACTCAGCATCAGTATGAAGACAAGCCACGGCAGTTGCATCACGCAGGCACCGCTAGAGGCAATGCAGTACTCAAGTCACAGAGTAAGCCTACATCGATCTATTATGGCTCAGATCCATCTCAAGCACAAGCTAAAACTGAGCGCAAGACACAAGCTTTTCCTTCAGCCTCCTCCAAACAGAGGCAGAAGTTCACGCCATATTGCCCATACTGTAAAGGAACAGAACATTACCTCAACGGCTGTGAAGACTTTAAAAAGCTCAATCTTCAAGCTGTAGCTGCCTGGATAAAAGACCAATCCAAATGCTGGCGCTGTGGCCGCAAACACACTCCTGAGCAGTGCACACTGAAGAAGCCATGTAGCAGTTGTGGAGAACAGCACTTATTAGTGCTTCATGACCTGGCAGAGGCGAAGAAACAAGATCCTAACATTCTGACTGTTAGTACCAGCCAAGTCTTTTTGGGTCCACTCAGCCACTCAGGCCGGTTATGCTTAAAGTGGTTCCCATCCAGCTGCACCATGACAAGAAGTCCCTGGACACATTTGCCCTTTTAGATGATGGATCAGAGAAAACCATCATCCTCCCAGCTGCAGTCAAATCACTGGGGCTAACGCAGGAAGAGGAAACGCTCTCACTCCGAACTATCCGTCACGATGTAATACAGATGAAGGGAGCTTATGTGTCATTTCAACTGTCACCCAGGTCCAAGCCAAAAACACGCTACAAAATAGTGCACGCTTTCACTGCCACACAGTTGAGTCTCGCTGAACAGTCATGCCCCGTGGAGCTCTTAAAGGGAAAGTATCGTCACTTACAGCATGTGCAGCTGGAGGAATTCACACAAGTGCAGCCTCTGGTGCTAATCGGCTCGGACAATGCTCACCTAATCACTCCTGTTCGGCCAGTCCTGCGCGGGCCAGCCCATGGGCCAGTGGCTGTATGCACCAAGCTCGGGTGGGCAATCCAGGGTCCCAGCAACAGTATGCCCACACAGCAGGGAGAGGTGCACTGCCTGAACATATCCTGCCTTTCTCCTGCTGAAGCCCTGCAGAAGGATGTACAGCGTCTGTGGCAATTAGACGCTCCCCTCCACAAACCAGAGAGGGAAGTCACACGCTCCAAAGAGGACAAAGAGGCCATTTCCACACTCGAGGCTAAAACCATTAGAGTCCCTGTAAACGGTGTCCAGAGATATGCCACTCCCCTACTCCGCAAAGTTGATTTCCCACAGCTCAAAGTCCCTCCTGATGCGGTTAAAGGTCTCCTTAGGTCCACAGAACGTAGATTAGTGAAAACACCTGCTCTCGCCCTCAAATACAATCAGGAGATACAGAGGTTAGTGGACTCAGGTTATGTGGTTAAGTTAACTCCAAAGCAGATTCACAGCTCCACTGAATCCTGGTATGTGCCGCACCACATGGTACATCATAATAATAAAGCCCGGGTTGTCTTTAACTGCTCCTTTGAGTTCCAGGGAGCGGTCCTCAACAGATATCTGCTGCCCGGACCAACACTGGGGCCCACGCTACTCGGCGTCCTACTCCGCTTTCGGCAGCACCCTGTAGCAGTGAGCGGAGACATAAAGGCTATGTTCCACCAGGTCCGACTGCTCCCAGAGGACTGCCCCCTCCTGCGCTTCCTGTGGCGAAATGGCGAAACCGATCGCCCCCCAGATGTGTATGAGTGGAGAGTCCTGCCATTCGGTACAACATGCAGTCCCTGCTGTGCCACCTTTGCGCTTCAGAGCCATGTGAGGGCGCACCGAGACACTCATCCGGACATTTATAATTCTGTGCTCACAGCATATTATGTGGATAACTGCCTGCAGTCCCTGGATCAGCCACAAGAGGCCAAGGCACTCATTGACAGAATGAGGGAACTCCTGCTTCAAGGTGGATTTGAGATAAGGCAGTGGGCGAGCAACATTCCTGAAGTGGTTGCTCATCTCCCCAGCAGCGCCAGGTCTGACAGCTGTGATCTGTGGCTGAATCTCAAAAGCTTAGATCCCCAGGAATCGACTCTGGGTCTCAGCTGGCACTGCCCTACAGATGTACTGGGGTACAAGCATCGCCCAGTGTCTTACACAACTGTTACCTTGCGTAATGTTTACAAAGTGCTGGCCAGTCAGTATGACCCGCTGGGTTATATCTCCCCATACACCACCAGAGCAAAGCTGATTGTACAGGGCCTGTGGAGCACAGAGAGAGGATGGGACGAGCCCATTCAAGGCACCCTGCTCCAGTCCTGGCTTGAATGGGAGAGCGAGCTGTCACACCTGCAGCATGTCACCATCCCCCGCTGTTACTCTCCTCACCACAGCAGCTGTGTGACATATGAAGCCCACATCTTCTGCGATGCTTCGGAGAGGGCATATGGAGCTGTAGCTTATCTCAGAGTGATGGACCAACAAGAGCACCTCGCCACAACATTTGCCATTGCCAGGTCCAGAGTAGCTCCCCGGAAACAGGTGTCTATCCCACGCTTGGAGCTGTGTGCTGCAGTCGTTGGAGCCCAACTCGCCAAACTGCTCCAAACTGAACTCACAATCCCTCTCCAGTCCGTCTGCCTGTGGACAGATTCCACTACAGTCCTGCAGTGGATACAGTCCAGCTCGTGCCGATACAAGGTCTTTGTGGGCACTCGAATCTGCGAAATCCAAGAGATGACCTCCCCAGAACAGTGGCGGTATGTTAACTCTGAACATAATCCCGCTGATGACATCACCAGAGGCAAACTCCTAGCAGAGTTAACTGCCTCCAGTCGCTGGTCACAAGGCCCTCATTTCCTAACACAGACACCGGACATGTGGCCCCAGTCCCCAGCTGAGCACACAGACAACAGCAGTGAGGAGCTCAGAAAAGCAGTTTTCTGTGCCCACACAACAATGTCCCAGAGCATCCCGGATTCATCTCAGTATGCCACGCTGGATGATCTTATCCTAGCCACTCATCAGTCCCTTCATGGGGCGGCCACTTCCCCCACGGCAGCAGAGCGTCTAGAGGCAGAAACGCAGCTCATTCGCTCTGCACAGACTGACAGTTTCCCAGAGGAGGTCCAAGCCCTCCAATCCGGCCGCTCTGTACACTCAAACAGCCGTCTGAGTGTACTCTCTCCTGAACTTGACCGCATCGTCGGGCTGATAAGAGTGGGAGGTCGCCTGCGTCGCGCCACAGACGTAGACCCAGACAGCCTTCACCCAATCGTGCTGTCTGTAGATCACCCTCTGTCTAAGCTCCTCATAAAGCATTATGATGCGCAGCTCCTCCATCCTGGGGCAGAAAGACTGTTTGCAGAGATACGTCGCATCTACTGGATCATCAGAGGGCGCCAGGCTATTAGGAAACATCAGCATCAGTGCGTTGACTGCCGAAGATGGCGTGCTTCTCCCACTACTCCAAAAATGGCCGACCTTCCCTCATCCCGGCTGAGGCTGTACAAACCCCCATTCTGGTCTACAGGCGTGGACTGTTTTGGTCCATATGTTGTGAAGATTGGACGCAGGAGAGAGAAGCGCTGGGGGATCATCTACAAGTGCCTCACCACCAGATGTGTGCACTTAGATCTCCTGCCTAGCATTGACACTGACTCTTTTCTTATGTCTTTACGCCGATTTATTGCACGCAGGGGGAAACCACATGAGGTGTGGTCTGACCGGGGCACAAACTTCCGAGGTGGTAGTAAAGAGCTCCAGACTGCCTTTGAGAACATGTCCCCGGATCTACAGCAGCAGTTGGCCAGCCAGACCATCGACTTCCACTTCAACCCACCTTATGCTCCTCACTTCGGGGGAGCCTGGGAGAGGGAAATCAGGTCAGTCAAATCAGCTCTGCAGGTCGTCCTGAAGGATCAAGTTGTGGCTGAAGAAGTTCTACTCACCACTCTCATCGAGGTAGAAGGCATACTAAACTCAAAACCACTTGGGTATGCCTCCTCTGATGTGGCCGACACTGACCCCATCACGCCTAACCTGCTGCTAATGGGGCGGCGTGACGCAGCGCTACCACAGGCGGTGTACGGCCCTCATGATGCCCTGTCCAACCGAAGATGGAGACACAGTCAAGTGATTAGCGACCACTTCTGGAGACGCTTTATCCAAAACTACCTCCCGGGCCTCCAGCTGAGACAGAAGTGGAGGAACGTCGCTGACAACGTTGCCGTCGGACGAGTGGTAATGATCGTCGATCGAAATCTCCCCAGAGGTCTGTGGCCCATAGGCACCATAACCAAAGTTTTCCCAGGCGCCGATGGGGTGGTGCGAGCTGCAGAAGTGAGGGTTAAAGACACTGACTACATTCGCCCGGTAACTAAACTGGTCGAGCTTCCTGAAGTGCCCGACGACGATGGCACTCCCACACACTAGTGGACTTTTGTATGTGTGTATTTGCTCTACAAATACAGAGGCGGCTGTTAAAAGTCCCTCACTACATTACCCATGATGCACTTGTGAATATTGTAGTTCCCCAGGGGCCCTTTCCGGTAGCCGAGTTTAGAGCTATTCATTACAGTGTTAGGAGCAGAGCCTGTGCGAGTGTGTCATGCCATCCGTCCTCCATCCAGTGTATATAAGTTCTGTGTGCGTTTATACAACGTGAGTATTGTGTGCCAATGTATATTTTCTTTATCTCACTGTATATATCCCAAATTGTTGCTCCCCACCTTTAGTTATAATATGTGTCGTGTGCCACGTGCATTTGCAGTAGGAGCGTCCATCGCGTTGGAGCACGCTGTATAATAAGCTGCTTTATTATTACATTGTACATAGTTGCTCATGTGTATATAGTTTAAGGAGTCCATTCCTGTTAAACAAATAATTACTTTCATTTGTCTCTTCTTAAGTCCCACGTGTGCTACGGTTTGTAGAGTTAGAGCACCCCCTTGTGGGGAACGGGTGAAATTCCATTCTGTCATTACATTGTACTTGTGTTTACCTGTGTTTATAGTCAAATGGCTATTTCTAATGTATACTATCTTTCTGTTAATTCCAGATGACCACACACATATACGCACCTATACACAGAAATCTTCACCTGCAACATACCTGTGCTCTTCCATCAATAAACATCACAACTGTGCACCTGGAGTTTGCCTGTTCCTTCTAACCGAGGAAGACTCATCTGACTGTCGTATCCGTTATCAGCGTATCCAAACGCTCACAGTATTTCACGCGCCAAACACAGATATTCAAATGTAATTTCTCAGAAGCAGAGTTGGTGAGGAGTGTGTATGTAAATGGGACCACACACTCGCCCACGGCCAGAGGCGATGCTAATGAGACTGACCCTGGGAATGACCCCAGCACACGCAGCGCCGGGCGGCCGAGCGGAGCACCGAGCAGTCCCTCTGAACAGTCTGCCTGAAAATGTGAGACAGGCTTCTTCTCTGGCAATGTTCAGATCCACGTTAAAAACTGGTCAACTGTAATTATACATGTTTTTCTTGTTTTCCTCCATTTTTTTTTTGCTTTTATACATTGACAAGCCTCAGTCCTGGGTCTACAGCCTCAGTCCTGGGTCTACAGCCTCAGTCCTGGGTCTACAGCCTCAGTCCTGGGTCTACAGCCTCAGTCCTGGGTCTACAGCCTCAGTCCTGGGTCTACAGCCTCAGTCCTGGGTCTACAGCCTCAGTCCTGGGTCTACAGCCTCAGTCCTGGGTCTACAGCCTCAGTCCTGGGTCTACAGCCTCAGTCCTGGGTCTACAGCCTCAGTCCTGGGTCTACAGCCTCAGTCCTGGGTCTACAGCCTCAGTCCTGGGTCTACAGCCTCAGTCCTGGGTCTACAGCCTCAGTCCTGGGTCTACAGCCTCAGTCCTGGGTCTACAGCCTCAGTCCTGGGTCTACAGCCTCAGTCCTGGGTCTACAGCCTCAGTCCTGGGTCTACAGCCTCAGTCCTGGGTCTACAGCCTCAGTCCTGGGTCTACAGCCTCAGTCCTGGGTCTACAGCCTCAGTCCTGGGTCTACAGCCTCAGTCCTGGGTCTACAGCCTCAGTCCTGGGTCTACAGCCTCAGTCCTGGGTCTACAGCCTCAGTCCTGGGTCTACAGCCTCAGTCCTGGGTCTACAGCCTCAGTCCTGGGTCTACAGCCTCAGTCCTGGGTCTACAGCCTCAGTCCTGGGTCTACAGCCTCAGTCCTGGGTCTACAGCCTCAGTCCTGGGTCTACAGCCTCAGTCCTGGGTCTACAGCCTCAGTCCTGGGTCTACAGCCTCAGTCCTGGGTCTACAGCCTCAGTCCTGGGTCTACAGCCTCAGTCCTGGGTCTACAGCCTCAGTCCTGGGTCTACAGCCTCAGTCCTGGGTCTACAGCCTCAGTCCTGGGTCTACAGCCTCAGTCCTGGGTCTACAGCCTCAGTCCTGGGTCTACAGCCTCAGTCCTGGGTCTACAGCCTCAGTCCTGGGTCTACAGCCTCAGTCCTGGGTCTACAGCCTCAGTCCTGGGTCTACAGCCTCAGTCCTGGGTCTACAGCCTCAGTCCTGGGTCTACAGCCTCAGTCCTGGGTCTACAGCCTCAGTCCTGGGTCTACAGCCTCAGTCCTGGGTCTACAGCCTCAGTCCTGGGTCTACAGCCTCAGTCCTGGGTCTACAGCCTCAGTCCTGGGTCTACAGCCTCAGTCCTGGGTCTACAGCCTCAGTCCTGGGTCTACAGCCTCAGTCCTGGGTCTACAGCCTCAGTCCTGGGTCTACAGCCTCAGTCCTGGGTCTACAGCCTCAGTCCTGGGTCTACAGCCTCAGTCCTGGGTCTACAGCCTCAGTCCTGGGTCTACAGCCTCAGTCCTGGGTCTACAGCCTCAGTCCTGGGTCTACAGCCTCAGTCCTGGGTCTACAGCCTCAGTCCTGGGTCCACAGCCTCAGTCCTGGGTCTACAGCCTCAGTCCTGGGTCCACAGCCTCAGTCCTGGGTCTACAGCCTCAGTCCTGGGTCTACAGCCTCAGTCCTGGGTCTACAGCCTCAGTCCTGGGTCTACAGCCTCAGTCCTGGGTCTACAGCCTCAGTCCTGGGTCTACAGCCTCAGTCCTGGGTCTACAGCCTCAGTCCTGGGTCTACAGTCTCAGTCCTGGGTCTACAGCCTCAGTCCTGGATCTACAGCCTCAGTCCTGGGTCTACAGCCTCAGTCCTGGGTCCACAGTCTCAGTCCTGGGTCCACAGTCTCAGTCCTGGGTCTACAGCCTCAGTCCTGGATCTACAGCCTCAGTCCTGGGTCTACAGCCTCAGTCCTGGGTCTACAGCCTCAGTCCTGGGTCTACAGCCTCAGTCCTGGGTCTACAGCCTCAGTCCTGGGTCTACAGCCTCAGTCCTGGGTCTACAGCCTCAGTCCTGGGTCTACAGCCTCAGTCCTGGGTCCACAGCTCAGTCCTGGGTCTACAGCCTCAGTCCTGGGTCTACAGCCTCAGTCCTGGGTCTACAGCCTCAGTCCTGGGTCTACAGCCTCAGTCCTGGGTCTACAGCCTCCTATGTGTTATGGCTTTTCTGTGTTTGAACGGTTTGATTCTCTAATCTGTTGATGACAAATCCAGTGTTCTAAACTGCCCTTGCCTGTTGTGATATAAATGTTCCTGTACACGTCGTTACCTTAGTCCTTGACTCCACTGCCGCATATTTCTGAGTCCATTTCGTTTCGTTGATGCTGCTTTAATTGACTGCTGCTTTGTCATTAGGCAGTGTCCCGTCTCGTCCCTGGCCTCACTCTGCCATAAAGACGACCCGTTCTGATTGAAAAATGTGTGATTCTTAAGACAGAACCTTCTCTACTCGGCAATTAAGAGCATCAGCCTACTTATGGACCGGTCTGCTGACATGTCCCGGGTCGCCCGTTAGGCCCTCATTTGTTTTCCCCGGCCTGCGCTCCGTCCCTCGCCCGCTCCGTGCCTCGGTCCGCGCTGTCATCTTGGCTTCGGGCGGCGGAGTTTCACACGTGCCCCCGGGGGTCTGTCTCTGTCACACCCTCACGCCACGCAATTACCGTGAGCAGGGCCCTAAACGTGCGGCCGGGCCCCTAATTTGAGTTCTGTGTGGCCTATATTTGGGCCGTGGAGAATGTGGGTCAGTCCTGTTGGCTCCGGGAGTGTCCGAGACCATTTATCGTCACAGATCACCAAAAACATGGCTTTGTTTTTCCCGGACAGGCGGACATTTCTGCTTCAGTCGCCGCAGAACGTAGATTCATGCTTACAGTCGGCCGCTGTGGATGGTTGCCCGGACATTATGGATTTATGTGTGGCTCAAGTTACTCTTAAACAATGATAATGAGGCAGATCTGCAGCCCGTGCTTCTGCTCCACTGGGTCTCTCTCTGGGAGGATTTTATTCCCCACTGGGTTCTTTGCAGTTTTTCGTTGCCAGTGAAAGATGTTTCCTGGATCGACATCTGTCCGTCTGTGAGAGAGGATCACACTCTGAGGTTTCTCACTTGTTTTCATGACTGAGGCTGTAGACCCAGGACTGAGGCTGTAGACCCAATAACTACTTTAGCATCAAAAGAGTAAAAACTGTTTGAAAAATTGACAAAGATTTCTTCAGTGTGAGATAAACAACGAGAGACTTGTATCAGTTTGTCATAAAAATAAAGAAGCAGCAAATTCATCAAGAACTTTAGTAATATTTCCGAGCCTCCCCTGGACCCGCCGTGTGAACGTGTGAACGTGTGAATATCGGCCAATGACCAGGGCTAATACGTCCGTAATCCTCTTTCAGTGTCACGGATATTATGGGAAAGCAACAGATAAAAATATGTCAAAAATCTGCCGGACTTCACGGATCATATTAAAATCCAATCCAATTTATACGAGCGCGATTAGCATGACACCGAAGCCGCTTCAAACCAGCGCTCTGCTAATCCCACTCATTTGGGTCCAAACTAGGCCACATTGGAATTACAGTACAGGCACCAACCGGCCAATCACAGGCCTCCGTTCGGAATCGCCACTTTCTGAGCGTGCTTGTGCGAGCCATCTGTTCACGACTAAACACGGAATATCAATTGTTTTACCGGCGGCTCAGGAGAAGGGACGGGTTTGTAAATGTAGTGTTGTGGAGCACAGTGGTCCCGGGTTTGTCGCGGGGGTTGGATGTTCTAAAAATAACACACAGTAAGTGACAGGAGGAAAGATTGATGCTTAAAACCCGTCACTACACACTTTAAATACTTTTCTGACCACAGGGAGGCAAGTATGTTCAAAAATCACACTCTATTCGGTGGATTATCAAGACATTCGGACGGGTTTTGGTCCCGATTCGCCGCGTTCAAAGTCAAAATGAAAAATATGTAAATTGCCAAAGAAAAATGTGAACTATCAAGATTGGAGATTAAAAAAAAACTGCACTGACCACGACTTACGATTATACTTTATGGGGGTTAAGACTCAGGACCTCCTCAGTCCTGGGTCTACAGCCTCAGTCCTGGGTCTCAAGTTTCAAGACTCATATTTGCCATTTGCAGTAAAACCACAGTGGAAAAATCGTGCAAGACCAGACACAGCAGATAGTTTAAATTGCCACAATGCAATTAAATATGCAGCCTCAGTCCTGGGTCTACAGCCTCGGCCCTGGGTCTACAGCCTCGGCCCTGGGTCTACAGCCTCAGTCCTGGGTCTACAGCCTCAGTCCTGGGTCTACAGCCTCAGTCCTGGGTCTACAGCCTCAGTCCTGGGTCTACAGCCTCGGCCCTGGGTCTACAGCCTCAGTCCTGGGTCTACAGCCTCAGTCCTGGGTCTACAGCCTCAGTCCTGGGTCTACAGCCTCGGCCCTGGGTCTACAGCCTCAGTCCTGGGTCTACAGCCTCAGTCCTGGGTCTACAGCCTCAGTCCTAGATCTGTTGTGATTTAGGGCGACACACAAATACACTGAATCATAATTATACAAAGATTTCATTTTTCGTGAAGAGGAAGCCGCCTCCGAGAAGGCACCAGAGCGAGTTCATCAGAATCTCCGGGTTCTGAGAGATTGATGGGCCGAGCTCCCCCGCTGTTCCGAGCCAGAGACGGGTTTAAAAATAGCGGTGAAAGAGGAATACATTATATACGTTTAAAGCTGGAGCCGCCATCACCTGCCGCTCTCTCACTCACCTGCCCCAGATTCTCAGCAGAGTGGCTCATGCAGTCGTTAATCACATGAGAAACACAGGAAACCATGGAGGATCCTGTGATTATTCAGCAGGAGGAGGATCCTGTGATTATTCAGCAGGAGGAGGATCCTGTGATTATTCAACAGGAAGAGGATCCTGTGATTATTCAGCAGGAGGAGGAGGATCTGTGATTATTCAGCAGGAGGAGGAGGATCTGTGATTATTCAGCAGGAGGAGGAGGATCCTGTGATTATTCAGCAGGAGGAGGAGGATCTGTGATTATTCAGCAGGAGGAGGAGGATCCTGTGATTATTCAGCAGGAGGAGGAGGATCCTGTGATTATTCAGCAGGAGGAGGAGGATCCTGTGATTATTCAGCAGGAGGAGGAGGATCCTGTGATTATTCAGCAGGAGGAGGAGGATCCTGTGATTATTCAGCAGGAGGAGGAGGATCCTGTGATTATTCAGCAGGAGGAGGATCCTGTGATTATTCAGCAGGAGGAGGAGGATCTGTGATTATTCAGCAGGAGGAGGATCCTGTGATTATTCAGCAGGAGGAGGAGGATCCTGTGATTATTCAGCAGGAGGAGGATCCTGTGATTATTCAGCAGGAGGAGGATCCTGTGATTATTCAGCAGGAGGAGGATGATCTGTGATTATTCTGCAGGAGGAGAAGGATCCTGTGATTATTCAGCAGGAGGAGGAGGATCTGTGATTATTCAGCAGGAGGAGGATCCTGTGATTATTCAACAGGAAGAGGATCCTGTGATTATTCAGCAGGAGGAGGAGGATCCTGTGATTATTCTGCAGGAGGAGAAGGATCCTGTGATTATTCAGCAGGAGGAGGAGGATCTGTGATTATTCAGCAGGAGGAGGATCCTGTGATTATTCAACAGGAAGAGGATCCTGTGATTATTCAGCAGGAGGAGGAGGATCTGTGATTATTCAGCAGGAGGAGGATCCTGTGATTATTCAGCAGGAGGAGGATCCAGTGATTATTCAGCAGGAGGAGGAGGATCCTGTGATTATTCAGCAGGAGGAGGATCCTGTGATTATTCAGCAGGAGGAGGAGGATCCTGTGATTATTCAGCAGGAGGAGGATCCTGTGATTATTCAGCAGGAGGATGATCCTGTGATTATTCAGCAGGAGGAGGAGAACTAAACATTAGTTTGTTCACATGAACAGTACCATAAACAGTACCATGAACAGTACCATGACCAGTAAGTACAGTAAGTACAGTAAGTATAGATAAACTTGGTAAACTTGGTAAACTTGGTACACTTGGTACACTTGGTACACTTGGTACACTTGGTACACTTGGTACACTTGGTAAACTTGGTAAACTTGGTAAACTTGGTAAACTTGGTAAACCAGGTGTTAGTGTTGCTCTTTTGAACTTCCTGTATCTAAACGTAAAGGTCAGGTCTGAGTTGTTTAGACTCTGAGTGGGAGGTTTCTTCCCTTCGCGGTTCAAACACAGAACTCTAACTTCCTCTCGGCGACACTTGCAGCGAACACAAAAGGCCTGGGATCAGATCTGCTTTCTCCAATTTCCCTGATTCTGCGCGTGACGAGGAGGCGGCAGCGAACACAGAGGCCCTAATGACCAATCAACACCCTTCTCTCTGCCGCGGCGTCTGTCAGCCTCCAATGGCCTCCGCCGTCGTGTCAGCCCGCGATGAAGGCGTGTGAACCGGGTCAGGGAGCGGGCCGACGTCGCGGGCCGCTGGAAAAGTTGATCCGTCGGAGTTTCGCTGGAGCGTAACAAGGGTCTAAACGGGAGTCAGAGGGGAGCGGAGGTGCAAAGCTAGACGGCGGATCGCTAACAAGCTAACTTCTCAGAATTGGACTCGGAAAGACGAGCGTTGGAGCAGGTTCCAGAGCTACAGCAGAATTTGTGTTTTTCAAAATGACTTCATTGGCCTTTGAGGCACTAAAAAAACCTGACTAAACCTGGAACTTCCTGGTTTAAATATATATATATAATTTAAAGGCTAATACTTTTGTTAGTCACTTAGAGAATGATGTATTTGTTTGAATGGACGTGTTTCTGCTGAATTTCTCCAACAGGGATCACACAACTTTGAAAAGTCCTTCGCCTCGACTGCAGCTGTGATTTTAGGGCTGAACACAAATAACCAATAGATTAATATTTGTATCCATATATTCTAGACCTAAATAAACCATTGCAAAATATAAAAGCTGAATTATTTTTTAAAAACTATGAATTTTCTTTGACTCAAGCTGCAGAAAAAGGTATAAAATATTTAAAAAACAGACACAAAGACATGCATAAAAACGTAATGCAATATGTACTCTATAAATACACACTTTAAAAACAGGAAATGCCAAATAAATACTACGTTTATAGAAATAAACAAACATCATATTTCTCCCCCAAAGCCAAGAGTAAATTTAGACCTCGTCCCCCACGGAGCGGACAGGTGCCAGACGAGCCCAGCCGTATTCTTAGCACTAAATCTGGATGATAATTGCGGCGTGAATCCGGCGGTAAAAGCCGAGGAGCAGATCTGTTAGCTTTACGGCTTTGTTAGTGGCACCAATCTGGCTGCAGGAGCGGGCGAGGACAGGTAGCATCTGTCTCGGCACGCGTTGGCAGCTCCGCCGGCGTCTGCTTCTCTGGCACAGGCCCGGACCCCCGTCACAGTGGGGGGCCCCTGCACTGGCTCCGGGACCACCGGGAGGAGAGGGGAGAGGTGCGAGAGAGGCTGGACTCAGGGCCAAGTGCTAACACGGATGTCAAGCTGCATAACACGGAGACAGGGCCAAGAGCTCTGGGTGACATGACAATAGATACATCAGAATCTGTCCATGGCAAAGTATGATGTATAGAGCCTTAATCATAATAATAATAATAATAATAAGTAAGTAATGTTTATTTATATAGGGCATTTTACAGACCAAGGTCACCCTAAGCGCTTTGCAATGATAATTAATAATGCATCTGTTTTATACAGAGCTTTTCAGACTCTCAAAGTCTCTTCACAACATTATTCTTTGACTAAAAACACGGTGGTGATAAACTACTGTAGCCACAGCTGCCCTGGGGCACACTGACAGAAGCAAGGCAACCAGTCTGTGCCATCGGCCCCTCCCTCCACCACCAACCATTCACACACACACCAGACTCATTCTAATGTGGGGGAAGTGTCTCGCCAAAAGACACAACAACAGTTTGGCATTTTACAGCCACAGCCGCCCCACTGTGGCACCTGCTGTTCCCAGAGGTCTCCCATCACCGCACTGACCAGGACCTGCCCTGCTTAACTCCAAAGGTCTTGCAGGATCTGGCTTTCACCTGCATGGGCACAAATGAACCAAGGAAGACTCTGAGGAGCACAGGGACCAGAGTCAGAACTAAACATGAGGAGGCAGCGTTTCAGATTCAAGCTAAAATCTAGAACAGTCTTCCTGAAAATGTGAGACAGGGTTCTTCTCTGACAAAGTTCAAATCCTCTTTTTAATGTGCTGTGATCATTTATGCACTTAGCGTTTCCTTGTGTAGTAAAGTAAACTTGATTTTTCTGAATTAATTAAAGGCCTTGCTGACAATAAAACCACAATTTCTCTCATCAGACTAGTGCAGATTGGTACCGTCCGTGCCGAGTCAGACTGATCCATTTCAAACTTAAATGTTGCTAAAACAAATGCCTGAAGTCGGGAACGATGGGAGCGACTCCAGGGAATAATATCTGGGAACGAATCCAACACAACTTTGGCTCAACACATTCATCTCAACGACACCGACTAATTTATACACAGCAGCAACAAGACACCAGTCCCCCCGGGTTTACCCACACGCTGAAGTCCTGGGTCTACAGCCTCAGTCCTGGGTCTACAGCCTCAGTCCTGGGTCTACAGCCTCAGTCCTGGATCTACAGCCTCAGTCCTGGGTCTACAGCCTCAGTCCTGGGTCTACAGCCTCAGTCCTGGGTCTACAGCCTCAGTCCTGGATCTACAGCCTCAGTCCTGGGTCTACAGCCTCAGTCCTGGGTCTACAGCCTCAGTCCTGGGTCTACAGCCTCAGTCCTGGGTCTACAGCCTCAGTCCTGGGTCTACAGCCTCAGTCCTGGGTCTACAGCCTCAGTCCTGGGTTTACAGCCTCAGTCCTGGGTCTACAGCCTCAGTCCTGGGTCTACAGCCTCAGTCCTGGGCTACAGCCTCAGTCCTGGGTCTACAGCCTCAGTCCTGGGTCTACAGCCTCAGTCCTGGGTCTACAGCCTCAGTCCTGGGTCTACAGCCTCAGTCCTGGGTCTACAGCCTCAGTCCTGGGGTCTACAGCCTCAGTCCTGGGTCTACAGCCTCAGTCCTGCGTCTACAGCTTCAGTCCTGGGTCTACAGCCTCAGTCCTGGGTCTACAGCCTCAGTCCTGGGTCTACAGCCTCAGTCCTGGGTCTACAGCCTCAGTCCTGGGTCTACAGCCTCAGTCCTGGGTCAACAGCCTCAGTCCTGGGTCTACAGCCTCAGTCCTGGGTCTACAGCCTCAGTCCTGGGTCTACAGCCTCAGTCCTGGGTCTACAGCCTCAGTCCTGGGTCTACAGCCTCAGTCCTGGGTCTACAGCCTCAGTCCTGGGTCTACAGCCTCAGTCCTGGGTCTACAGCCTCAGTCCTGGGTTTACAGCCTCAGTCCTGGGCCTACATTCTCAGTCCTGGGCCTACATTCTCAGTCCTGGGTCTACAGCCTCAGTCCTGGGTCTACAGCCTCAGTCCTGGGTCTACAGCCTCAGTCCTGGGTCTACAGCCTCAGTCCTGGGTCTACACACATTCGATAATATTCCAACGGTGACTTTTCGACATCTTTTCACAAACTCTCCGTCAAACGCTTCACAACCACTGAAACTTGCCCGACCTTTGAGACCCGATGCGGCGTCACCTTTACAGACTCCTCACTGTCTGGTCCCACAAAGCTAATTACAAGCTAACGCAACGCCATCTCCCCCTTTAGCTAACCCCCCCTCGGCACATACAGCACCAACCTCCTCTTTCTCCTGCTTTCTAATTAATTCTCCGTCCGTAAGTGAGCGGTTAGATTGCGGCACAGAAATGTCACGGTGAGAATAAAATTTTGTTTTTGTTTTTTTTTTTTTCCGGGCCCCGAAAGCTCCGTGCGGCGTGGCGGCGTGACGGGGTGAGGAATCTATTCTGAGGCACAGAAAGGTCACGTTGGCTGGAGTGAGTTGTTAACGGATGAGTTTTGAGAGAGCGTGGGCGTCGCGGGTGTGAAACCCAGTTAGCACAGGAAGCCGAGGCTGACCAATAAACGGCTATTCCTGGGCTGCAGCGTATCGACCACGGAGAGAAGAGGGTGTCGGGGTTTCAGAAGAATGTGCCAAAAGTTACTGATGAGAAACTTGTGAAGCTTGTGGAGAATGTTCAGTTTAAACAGAAAGAAGAAAAGCAGCAAAAAAGTGTTGAAGCTTTTGTCTTTGGAAAGAAATTCTGATTAGATTTTTTTATTTTGTCTGAATGTGAGAAAATCCTTTTGTCTGTTTTGTACCTCTCTCTCTCTCTCTCTCTCTCTCTCTCTCTCGCTCGCCCTCACTCCCTCTCTATCTCTCTCCATCTCTCTCTCGCTCTCTCTCTCACTCCCTCCCCCCTCCCTCTCTCTCTCTATCTCACTCTCTCACTCCCTCACTCTCACTCCCCCCTCTCTCTCTCTCTCACTTTCTCACTCCCTCCCCCCTCTCTCTCTCTCTGTCTCTCTCTCGCTCCCTCACTCTCACTCCCCCCTCTCACTCCCCCCCCCTCTCTCTCTCACTTTCTCACTCCCTCCCCCTCTCTCTCTCTCCCTCTCCCCCCCCCTCTCTCACTCCCCCCCCCCCTCTCTCTCACTCACTCCCCCCCTCCTCTCTCTCACCCCCCCCCCCCTCTCTCTCACTCCCCCCCCTCTCTCACTCCCCCTCCCTCTCTCTCACTCTCCCCCCCCCTCTCTCTCTCTCTCTCACCCCCCCCCCCCTCTCTCTCACTCCCCCCCCTCTCTCTCTCTCACTCTTCCCCCCCCTCTCTCTCTCTCACTCTTCCCCCCCCTCTCTCTCTCTCACTCTTCCCCCCCTCTCTCTCTCTCACTCTTCCCCCCCCTCTCTCTCTCTCACTCTTCCCCCCCTCTCTCTCTCTCTCTGAGTGTTTTTATGTCTGTTTTTCCCTTGTGAAGAATGCTCAGTTGAAACAGACAAAAAGAAAAGCAGAAAATAAAAAAAATGGTGGGATTCTCAAAGTAATTCAGAATTGGACGTTCTTTTAAGTTGTTGTCTGAATGTGAAAAATCTGTTTTTTAAAATAATTGTTTGTCATTTTATTTGGTGTCTTTGTCCCTTTTGTTCTTGCTTTGTGTTTTATTCTTATATTTCTATTTGTGTGTCTTGATTTTTATTGTCCTTAAAAAAGGTATAAAAGGAGGATTCCCCACATTTTAGGAAAGAACCGCCCTCTCCACTCTGAACAAAACTCTCTGGTCTTATTTTACGATTATCACCAGAATGATTGACAGTTGGGAGGACCAATCGTCTTGAAGATCCACCTGGAAGTAGAAAATCCTCCTCTGTACCTTTAAATAAAAAACAAACCCTGTTCCTTGGTGTTATTTAGTCAAAACCAGTGTCTCCTGCTGGTCCCAGAGTCAGGACTAAACATGAGGAGGCAGCATTTCAGATTTAAGCTAAAATCTGGAACAGTCTTCCTGAAAGTGTGAGACAGGGTTCTTCTCGGACAATGTTCAAATCCAGGTTAAAATAGTTCAGTTTCACTACAGCAACTGAAAGTAGACTTTCCATACAGTCCCTGCTCCCTGAACAAAGCAGTACAACAGAACACTAAGTCCATGTAACAGGGACGCAGATGCCGTTGCCATGACGATAACGATGGCGATGGCGTGGTGCGTGTTTTTGTTGGTCTTTGTGGGCAGAGAAAGTGTGAACGGTGGCACGCAGCTCCGAGGCTTATGTGTGCAGCGAGAGGAGGATTAGCTTTGGCCAGATCCGTGGAAAGGCGTCCAAACACAAGGTTCAATAATAACAGAGAAATTAGGAAAAATTTATGAGTCTGGATTAGACTGAGGGGACACATCACGGTCTATGACGTCTGAGGTCCTGGGTCTACAGCCTCAGTCCTGGGTCTACAGCCTCAGTCCTGGGTCTACAGCCTCAGTCCTGGGTCTACAGCCTCAGTCCTGGGTCTACAGTCTCAGTCCTGGGTCTACAGCCTCAGTCCTGGGTCTACAGTCTCAGTCCTGGGTCTACAGCCTCAGTCCTGGTCTACAGCCTCAGTCCTGGGTCTACAGCCTCTGCCACGACTCACCGTGTCACCACCGCGGCCACTGCATCAACCTGCGGCAGAGCTACAGCTGCATCTGCCCACGGCCATACACCGGCCACGACTGTGAGGAGGGTGAGAGACCAGAGCGAGACCAGAGGGAGACCAGAGGGAGACCAGAGGGAGACCAGAGAGAGACCAGAGACAGACCAGAAAGAGACCAGAGGGTGACCAGAGGGTGACCAGAGCGAGACCAGAGAGTGACCAGAGAGTGACCAGAGGGTGGCCAGAGGGTGACCAGAGACAGACCAGAGAGAGACCAGAGAGAGACCAGAGAGAGACCAGAGAGAGAGACCAGAGAGAGAGACCAGAGAGAGACCAGAGAGAGACCAGAGAGAGAGACCAGAGAGAGAGACCAGAGACAGACCAGAGACAGACCAGAGAGAGAGACCAGAGAGAGACCAGAGAGAGACCAGAGAGAGAGATCAGAGAGAGACCAGAAAGAGACCCTTCTAACACGTTTCCTTTCATGGTGTTTCCTTTTCCCCAGAACTCGTCGCGGCTCGTTTCGGACACGAGGATTCTCAAAGCGTCGCCGTTTTCACCGTCACCGATGACATCACGGAGAACCTCAGTCTCTCCCTGTTCCTGAGAACCAGGAGACAGCGCTGCCTCCTGCTGGCCGTGTCCAGCAACAACACCCTCTACTTCACTCTGCGGCTGGAGGACGGCAAGGTCCTGGTCCAGCTCGGCTCCTTCGGCCTCATCCAGTCCAACAGGACCGTGAACGACGGAGAGGTCCACTTTGTCAGCGTCGACTTGTCCAATGGGACTATGAAGCTGGACGTACAAGGTGAAGAACAGGACCATGTGGAGGCCGGGTCTGTGGATGTGCGAGCAGGAGATGCTGTGTATGTGGGCGGGCTGTGGAAGAGCGAGCAGACGGCGGCGTTCGGGGGGGGTCTGAAGGGGTGTGTCCAGGACCTGCGCATCAACGACCGGAGGCTGCTGTTCTTCAGTTCGGTGGATTCGACGAAAGAAGATTTTCCTCTGGTTCACCGCGAGAACGTGAGCGAGGGCTGCACCGGAGACGACCAGTGCAGCGTGAGTCACCTGTGTTCCAGAGAGAGACCAGAGAGAGACCAGAGAGAGACCAGAGAGAGACCAGAGAGAGACCAGAGAGAGACCAGAGAGAGACCAGAGAGAGACCAGAGAGAGACCAGAGAGAGAGACCAGAGAGAGACAAGAGAGAGACCAGAGAGAGACCAGAGAGAACAGAGAGAGACCAGAGAGAGACCAGAGAGAGACCAGAGAGAGACCAGAGAGAGACCAGAGAGAGACCAGAGAGAGAGACCAGAGAGAGACAAGAGAGAGACCAGAGAGAGACCAGAGAGAGACCAGAGAGAGACCAGAGAGAGACCAGAGAGAGACCAGAGAGAGACCAGAGAGAGAGACCAGAGAGAGACAAGAGAGAGACCAGAGAGAGAGACAAGAGAGACCAGAGAGAGACCAGAGAGAGACCAGAGAGAGACCAGAGAGAGACCAGAGAGAGACAAGAGAGAGACCAGAGAGAGACCAGAGAGAGACAAGAGAGAAACCAGAGAGAAACTAGAGAGACCAGAGAGAGACCAGAGAGAGACCAGAGAGAGACCAGAGAAACTATAAGGAACTAAATGGACTTTGAACAGTATATATAACTTGCTTCTGTGCTCCTCATGTCTCGCTGCGGTCTCGCTGCGGTCCCTGGTCTCGCTGCGGTCCTCAGAGGAACCCGTGTCTGAACGGGGGCATGTGCTTCTCCGTGTGGGACGACTTCAGCTGCTCCTGCGCCCCCAGCACCTCGGGGCGTCGCTGTGAGGAGGTGCGCTGGTGCGAGCTGGGCCCCTGTCCCGCCGGGGCCGAGTGCCGGGTCCTGGGCCGCGGATACGACTGTGAGTCCGACCTCAGGTTCTGGTCACGGGAGACTTCTTTTCAATATATTTGTGAAACGCCATAAAACAGCTTTGACAGTTCTACAACAGTCAGTTCCTCCTCTGGGCGTCTCACTTCTCATATAGAAGGTGCTGGGTTTTAATCCCGGTCGGAACAGGGTCTTTCTGAGTGGAGTTTGCATGTTCTCTCTCTGGTCTCTCTCTCTGGTCTCTCTCTGGTCTCTCTCTCTGGTCTCTCTCTGGTCTCTCTCTCTGGTCTCTCTCTGGTCTCTCTCTTTGGTCTCTCTCTGGTCTCTCTCTCTGGTCTCTCTCTTTGGTCTCTCTCTGGTCTTTCTCTGGTCTCTCTCTCTGGTCTCTCTCTGGTCTCTCTCTCTGGTCTCTCTCTCTGGTCTCTCTCTCTGGTCTCTCTCTTTGGTCTCTGTGTCTGTGTAGGTTTCCTCCAGGTGCTCCGGTTTCCCCTACCACTAAAACCATGCACAATAGGTCTGAATGTAATGAATGAGTGGAGGGTGTTTGGTCGGAGGCTTTGATGGATTAGTGTGTTCTGGTCTCGCTTCATCACCGTGTGGAGAGAATGGAACAATATCTGAACATAAAGCGCTTTGGGGTGACCGTGGTCTGTAAGACTGCGTTATATAAATAAACATGACTTACTTCTGGTCGCAGGTTACTCCAACGCCACGTTCCTGAACGACTCCACGGTCCTGACGTTCAGAGGAAACGGGCAGATCCTGAGAAACCTGACCAGCCTCTCCCTGGACCTGCGCACCAGGAAGCGCAACGCCGCCGTCCTGCACGCCGAGCACGCCTCCTCCTTCATCACGCTGTCGCTGCAGGAGGGCCACCTGGTCCTGGAGCTGCAGAGCGATGGCGAGGAGGAGGAGCAGGAGGAGCAGGAGGAGGAGGAGGAGGAGGAGAGGAAGGTCTCCACCGTCAGCATCAGCAGCCGGACGGTGGTGAGCGACGGCGAATGGCATCACGTGCATCTGTTCATGGCCACGCCCTGGACGCAGACGTCGCGCTGGACTCTGGTGTTGGACCAGGAGGTGGAGGCGGCGAGCACGTCCAGGACTCGAGCCGGGAACCTGGACTTCCTGCGGCAGGGAGTGGACATCTTCTTGGGAGGACTGGCCCCGGAGGCAGGCTGGGCTCTGGCAGGTACTGTAGACCCAGGACTGAGGCTGTAGACCCAGGACTGAGGCTGTAGACCCAGGACTGAGGCTGTAGACCCAGGACTGAGGCTGTAGACCCAGGACTGAGGCCTTAGACCCAGGACTGAGGCTGTAGACCCAGGTGAGGCTGTAGACCCAGGACTGAGGCTGTAGACCACATGTGTCAAAGTCAAGGCCCGCGGGCCAAATCCAGCCCGCAAATGATTTTTTCATGGCCTGTTGCCTGCCATTGACGCACTATTACGTCAATTGCGTTTTCCGCTATTTTCATGTTCCCAGATGTCTATTATATCTAGTATGTTTGGGGATAAGCTTGAGAGCATATTGAATCGAGCCAGCAGGTGGCAGCAGCGCTCTCTGAATGGTTTGAAAACAGCTAGATGCACTTGTTGTGCCTCTTTTTTCTCAGCTTTTTGGTAATTTCAGTAAAACTTCCCTCTACTCAACTGGGGATTACAAGCTAGAAACAAAATTATTTTTGCTGATGAAAGTAGACAGTCTATTCTTTCAGAATCTGGTTTCGGATTTCAGATAGTCATAGTACACAATATTCTGTGGGTCTTGAAAAATCTATAAAAATCATCAGAAACTGCTGGCAATATGGGAGTACCTGTTCTGAAATGGGCTGGCAGGCAATGAGTTAATAAACATTGAACCAGTCCGGCCCTCGGCTCGCAGCAAATTTGTTTTTTTGGACCTCTGATGTATTTGACTTTGCCATGCCTGCTGTAGACCCAGGACTGAGGCTGTAGACCCAGGACTGAGGCTGTAGACCCAGGACTGAATCCATGTTGGTTCTAACCCTGTGTTTTTAGGCTGCTTGAGCACGGTGGAGTTGGGGGGCATCGCGTTGTCTTACTTCACCTCCGCAGACGTGAACTTGCCTCGGCTTCAGCCGGACCAGTTCTCCCTGGTCTCCTCGGGGGCCCCTCTCCTGGGCTGCAGCGGGGCCTTGGTCTGTGAGCCCAGTCCCTGCCTGAACGGGGGCCTCTGTCAGGACCTCTTCAACTGGTTCAACTGCAGCTGTGTGGGAGGGTGGGCCGGCCGCCGCTGTGACCTGTACATCAACGCCTGTGCCTCCCAGCCCTGTCGCCACGGTGAGAGAGACCAGAGAGAGACCAGAGAGAGACCAGAGAGAGACCAGAGAGAGACCAGAGAGAGACCAGAGAGAGACCAGAGAGAGAGACCAGAGAGAGACCAGAGAGAGACTAGAGAGCGACCAGAGAGAGACCAGAGAGAGACCAGAGAGAGACCAGAGAGAGAGACCAGAGAGAGACCAGAGAGAGACCAGAGAGAGACCAGAGAGAGACCAGAGAGAGACCAGAGAGAGAGACCAGAGAGAGACCAGAGAGAGACTAGAGAGCGACCAGAGAGAGACCAGAGAGAGACCAGAGAGAGACCAGAGAGAGAGACCAGAGAGAGAGACCAGAGAGAGACCAGAGAGAGACCAGAGAGAGACCAGAGAGAGACTAGAGAGCGACCAGAGAGAGACCAGAGAGAGACCAGAGAGAGACCAGAGAGAGACTAGAGAGCGACCAGAGAGAGACCAGAGAGAGACCAGAGAGAGACCAGAGAGAGAGACCAGAGAGAGAGACCAGAGAGAGACCAGAGAGAGACCAGAGAGAGACCAGAGAGAGACCAGAGAGAGACCAGAGAGAGACCAGAGAGAGACCAGAGAGAGACCAGAGAGAGACCAGAGAGAGACCAGAGAGAGAGACCAGAGAGAGACCAGAGAGAGAGACCAGAGAGAGACCAGAGAGAGACCAGAGAGAGACCAGAGAGAGACCAGAGAGAGACCAGAGAGAGACCAGAGAGAGACCAGAGAGAGAGACCAGAGAGAGACCAGAGAGAGACCAGAGAGAGACCAGAGAGAGACCAGAGAGAGACCAGAGAGAGAGACCAGAGAGAGACCAGAGAGAGACCAGAGAGAGAGACCAGAGAGACACCAGAGAGAGACCAGAGAGAGAGACCAGAGAGAGACCAGAGAGAGACCAGAGAGAGAGACCAGAGAGAGACCAGAGAGAGAGACCAGAGAGAGACCAGAGAGAGACCAGAGAGAGACCAGAGAGAGACCAGAGAGAGACCAGAGAGAGAGACCAGAGAGAGACCAGAGAGAGACCAGAGAGAGAGACCAGAGAGAGACCAGAGAGAGAGAGACCAGAGAGAGACCAGAGAGAGACCAGAGAGAGAGACCAGAGAGAGACCAGAGAGAGACCAGAGAGAGACCAGAGAGAGACCAGAGAGAGACCAGAGAGAGACCAGAGAGAGAGACCAGAGAGAGACCAGAGAGAGACCAGAGAGAGAGACCAGAGAGACACCAGAGAGAGACCAGAGAGAGACCAGAGAGAGACCAGAGAGAGACCAGAGAGAGAGACCAGAGAGAGACCAGAGAGAGACCAGAGAGAGACCAGAGAGAGACCAGAGAGAGAGACCAGAGAGAGACCAGAGAGAGACCAGAGAGAGAGACCAGAGAGACACCAGAGAGAGACCAGAGAGAGACCAGAGAGAGACCAGAGAGAGACCAGAGAGAGAGACCAGAGAGAGACCAGAGAGAGAGACCAGAGAGAGACCAGAGAGAGACCAGAGAGAGACCAGAGAGAGACCAGAGAGAGACCAGAGAGAGAGACCAGAGAGAGACCAGAGAGAGAGACCAGAGAGAGACCAGAGAGAGAGACCAGAGAGAGACCAGAGAGAGACCAGAGAGAGAGACCAGAGAGAGACCAGAGAGAGACCAGAGAGAGACCAGAGAGAGACCAGAGAGAGACCAGAGAGAGACCAGAGAGAGAGACCAGAGAGAGACCAGAGAGAGACCAGAGAGAGAGACCAGAGAGACACCAGAGAGAGACCAGAGAGAGACCAGAGAGAGACCAGAGAGAGACCAGAGAGAGACCAGAGAGAGACCAGAGAGAGACCAGAGAGAGAGACCAGAGAGAGACCAGAGAGAGACCAGAGAGAGAGACCAGAGAGAGAGACCAGAGAGAGAGACCAGAGAGAGACCAATGAGAATAAAACTGTACAGGCTGTAGACCCAGGACTGAGGCTGTAGATCCAGGACTGAGTCTAACCATTGCTGAATGAACTGTCCCGGCCTTGAACCTAATGCTCTCTGTCCTTCAGGGAACTGCTCGGGGCGGGGGCTGCAGTACCAGTGTGAGTGTGAGGTCGGGTTCTCGGGGCAGGACTGTGACCTGGAGGTGGACCCCTGTGAGAAACATCTGTGTGCCAACGGCGCCACCTGTCTGCAGGGCCCCAAAGGCTACTCCTGCCTCTGCCCCGACAACTACACCGGCCCTCTCTGCAGGTACCACACCAGTCCCTTCCAGTCCCAGTCCTAGTCCCTCCCAGTCCCACTCCCAGTCCCAGTCTGAGGCCGGGTCTGTGCCTTAGTCTGAGTCCCATTGCCAGTTTCAGTCCAAGTACCAGTTCCAGTCCGAGAATGAGACCGGGCCTGTGACTTGAGTCCCAGTCCCTGTGCTCCTCAGAGTCCCAGCAGGAGGCCAGTCCCTGTGCTCCTCAGAGTCCCAGCAGGAGGCCATGACCCTGTGCTCCTCAGAGTCCCAGCAGGAGGCCAGTCCCTGTGCTCCTCAGAGTCCCAGCGGGAGGCCAGTCCCTGTGCTCTTCAGAGTCCCAGCAGGAGGCCAGTCCCTGTGCTCCTCAGAGTCCCAGCAGGAGACCAGTCCCTGTGCTCCTCAGAGTCCCAGCGGGAGGCCAGTCCCTGTGCTCTTCAGAGTCCCAGCAGGAGGCCAGTCCCTGTGCTCCTCAGAGTCCCAGCAGGAGACCAGTCCCTGTGCTCCTCAGAGTCCCAGCAGGAGGCCAGTCCCTGTGCTCCTCAGCGTCCCAGCAGGAGACCAGTCCCTGTGCTCTTCAGAGTTGGCTCTAACATGTCCCAGATGTATTTGGTGCAGAGCCCTGAGACCAGGACTGCTGTGATGGTACTTCCTGGTTCTCTCATGGTCCTGCACTGTGTTGAGAGCCAGAAACAAGAGAGATTTAAATAATAAATGTAAATGTTAGAAGAGAATATTGAGAATACATTTAGATCAATGCAGATGTTTTCCTCTTTTCACACAAACAAAGCGTGTTAGAAAGATAAACTATTGACTCTGTGGAAGCGTGGGGAGCGCCGGTGCCTGCAGTGCTCTCCTCAGAAGCCCCCCCCACAGCCCCCCCACAGCCTCAGCAGGGGGGAGCCTCGCACTATTTACCCCAAAACCACGGCTCACGTCTCTCCCGCTCTTCCAGAACCACTACTTTTCATCCGGATGCTTTGGTCTTTGTCTAAGCGCTGCTTGTTTGTGTGTCTGCAGTGAGCGCGTCAGAGAATTACCCTGGTACATGATCGTCAGAAGTGTGTAAGTCTCTCTTTTCTCTCTCTCTCTCTCTTTTGTGTCTCTCTCTCTCTCTTTTGTGTCTCTCTCTCTGTGGAAGTGTGTCTCTTAAACAAGTGCAAAATGACAAACAAAGCTAATATTAGTGTGTTTGCTGTGTGCTGAGTGACAGCTGTGGAGGGGCGGGACTAACCTAAAAACAGCCGGAAAAAAGGGCCGTGGAGGCAGAGTAAAGAGCGAGGTTTTTTATATAGCACAGTTCATACACAGGGCTTTTCAAAGTGCTCAAACAAACAGGGAAAGAAACACTGCAATCAGAAATAATCTCTGTGCATCAGAAAAGACTGAAGGTACAATCGCTCGCTATGTTTAGTCCCTGTGCTCCTCCGAGTCCCAGCAGAAGGCCAGTCCCTGTGCTCCTCAGAGTCCCAGCAGGAGGCCAGTCCCTGTGCTCCTCCGAGTCCCAGCAGGAGGCCAGTCCCTGTGCTCCTCAGAGTCCCAGCAGGAGGCCAGTCCCTGTGCTCCTCCGAGTCCCAGCAGGAGTCCAGTCCCTGTGCTCCTCAGAGTCCCAGCAGGAGTCCAGTCCCTGTGCTCCTCAGAGTCCCAGCAGGAGGCCAGTCCCTGTGCTCCTCAGAGTCCCAGCAGGAGGCCAGTCCCTGTGCTCCTCAGAGTCCCAGCAGGAGGCCAGTCCCTGTGCTCCTCAGAGTCCCAGCAGGAGGCCAGTCCCTGTGCTCCTCAGAGTCTATGGAGGCCATGGAAAGACTTGTTTAAAGTATATTCTCTGAGCCACCGGGATCTGAGACCAGGACTAATGTGATGGTACTTCCTGGTTCTAGGCAGGACTATAGAAGTTGGTTCATGTTTAGCAGCTTAGCTAGTCCCTGTTGAGTCTCACAGAAGCACATTAGGTCCAGCCCTGTTGAGTCCCACAGAAGCACATTAGGTCCAGCCCTGTTGAGTCCCACAGAAGCACATTACAGTAGGTCCTGACCCTTCTCTCTCCGCAGTCGTCCCAAACTCCCGGTGTCGGTTTGTGGAGACAGCCTCAGGAACTACACCTGCTTTAACGGAGGAAACTGCACCGAGCGAGACCTGTCGTGTGACTGTCTCTCAGGGTTCACTGGACACAGGTCAGAACCACATTTATTTATGTGTCGCACTAACTCACAACAGTAGTTATCTCAGTGGACTCAGCTGTCGATTCTCCAACACAGATCAGAGAATCAAACCAACACACAAAGAGCCGAGACCAATGAATGTGGAGTGTCCTTAGAATCAGAATCAGATCTCTCTCTGGTCTCTCTCTGGTCTCTCTCTGGTCTCTCTCTGGTCTCTCTCTCTGGTCTCTCTCTCTGGCCTCTCTCTGGTCTCTCTCTCTGGTCTCTCTCTGGTCTCTCTCTGGTCTCTCTCTCTGGTCTCTCTCTGGTCTCTCTCTCTGGTCTCTCTCTGGCCTCTCTCTGGTCTCTCTCTGGTCTCTCTCTGGTCTCTCTCTCTGGTCTCTCTCTGGTCTCTCTCTGGCCTCTCTCTGGTCTCTCTCTGGTCTCTCTCTCTGGTCTCTCTCTGGTCTCTCTCTGGCCTCTCTCTGGTCTCTCTCTGGCCTCTTTCTGGCCTCTCTCTGGTCTCTCTCTCTGGCCTCTCTCTGGTCTCTCTCTCTGGTCTCTCTCTGGCCGCTCTCTGGTCTCTCTCTGGCCTCTCTCTGGTCTCTCTCTGGTCTCTCTCTGGTCTCTCTCTGGTCTCTCTCTGGTCTCTCTCTGGTCTCTCTCTGGTCTCTCTCTGGTCTCTCTCTGGCCTCTCTCTGGTCTCTCTCTCTGGTCTCTCTCTGGTCTCTCTCTGGTCTCTCTCTGGTCTCTCTCTGGTCTCTCTCTGGCCTCTCTCTGGTCTCTCTCTCTGGTCTCTCTCTGGTCTCTCTCTGGTCTCTCTTTCATTTCCCTGTGAGTCACAGTCTCTCGGTGTAAACAAGTAAAAGTAGAGAATAGAATAAAGTATGTCCAGGAAGAACAACTCTAATAATCCAGGGAGAACAGTCAGAGACCTCGGGGAGGCCAGTGTTGAGAGAATCTGCTCTCACAGACAGACACTAGAGAGTACACGTGTGTTGGCAGAGCTGAAGTTGGCTGGATGACACTGTTTATTGTCTCTAAGTTGACTGTTTGTGTTTGTGGCAGAGGACATGACTGTTATAAATGCTTGTTCTCTCTGTCCCTGTGATCCTGTCCCTGAGTGCTGTGGTCTGTCCCAGTGGTCCCTGTGTGCTATGACCCAGTGGTCCCTGTGTGCTATGACCCTGTGGTCCCTGTGTGCTATGACCCTGTGGTCCCTGTGTGCTATAATCCTGTGGTCCCTGTGTGCTATGACCCAGTGGTCCCTGTGTGCTATAACCCTGTGGTCCCTGTGTGCTATAACCCTGTGGTCCCTGTGTGCTATAACCCTGTGGTCCCTGTGTGCTATAACCCTGTGGTCCCTGTGTGCTATAACCCTGTGGTCCCTGTGTGCTATAACCCTGTGGTCCCTGTGTGCTATGACCCTGTGGTCCCTGTGTGCTATGACCCTGTGGTCCCTGTGTGCTATGACCCTGTGGTCCCTGTGTGCTATGACCCTGTGGTCCCTGTGTGCTATAACCCTGTGGTCCCTGTGTGCTATGACCCTGTGGTCCAGGTGTGCTATAACCCTGTGGTCCCTGTGTGCTATGACCCTGTGGTCCAGGTGTGCTATAACCCTGTGGTCCCTGTGTGCTATGACCCTGTGGTCCAGGTGTGCTATCACCCTGTGGTCCCTGTGTGCTATGACCCTGTGGTCCCTGTGTGCTATAACCCTGTGGTCCCTGTGTGCTATGACCCTGTGGTCCCTGTGTGCTATAACCCTGTGGTCCCTGTGTGCTATAACCCTGTGGTCCCTGTGTTCTATAACCTTGTGGTCCCTGTGTGCTATAACCCTGTGGTCCCTGTGGTCCCTGTGTGCTATAACCCTGTGGTCCCTGTGTGCTATAACCCTGTGGTCCCTGTGTGCTATAACCCTGTGGTCCCTGTGTACTATAACCTTGTGGTCCCTGTGTGCTATAACCCTGTGGTCCCTGTGTGCTATAACCCTGTGGTCCCTGTGTGCTATAACCCTGTGGTCCCTGTGTTCTATAACCTTGTGGTCCCTGTGTGCTATAACCCTGTGGTCCCTGTGGTCCCTGTGTGCTATAACCCTGTGGTCCCTGTGTGCTATACCCTGTGGTCCCTGTGTGCTATGACCCTGTGGTCCCTGTGTGCTATGACCCTGTGGTCCCTGTGTGCTATGACCCTGTGGTCCCTGTGTGCTATGACCCTGTGGTCCCTGTGTGCTATAACCCTGTGGTCCCTGTGTGCTATGACCCTGTGGTCCCTGTGTGCTATGACCCTGTGGTCCCTGTGTGCTATAACCCTGTGGTCCCTGTGTTCTATAACCCTGTGGTCCCTGTGTGCTATAACCCTGTGGTCCCTGTGTGCTATAACCCTGTGGTCCCTGTGTGCTATAACCCTGTGGTCCCTGTGTTCTATAACCTTGTGGTCCCTGTGTGCTATAACCCTGTGGTCCCTGTGTGCTATAACCCTGTGGTCCCTGTGGTCCCTGTGTGCAGGTGTGAGCAGGAGGTGGACGAGTGTCGTTCTAGTCCCTGTCTGAACGGAGGGTACTGTAGGAACCTGATGAACCGCTTCGTGTGTGTGTGTGACATGAGCTTCGCTGGAGACGTCTGTGAGATCGACGTAAGCGACATCTACTTCTACGTTGCTCTGCTCCTCTGGCAGAACCTGTTCCAGCTTCTTTCTTTCCTCATCCTGCGGCTGGACGACGAGCCCGAGGTGGACTGGGGCGAGGGGGACTGAGGCGAGGAGGACTGATGCCAGGACTGGGGCGAGGGGGAATGGGGCGAGGACTGATGCCAGGACTGGGGCATGGGGGACTGAGGGGAGGGGGACTGAGTCCAGGACTGTGGCGAGGGGGACTGGGGCAAGGGGGACTGAGGCCAGGACTGGGGCGAGGACTGAGGCCAGGACTGGGGCGAGGGGGACTGGGGCAAGGGGGACTGAGGCCAGGACTGGGGCGAGGACTGAGGCCAGGACTGGGGCAAGGGGGACTGAGGAGGGGACTGGGGCCAGGACTATGGCAAGGACTGGGGCAAGGGGGACTGAGGCCAGGACTGGGGCGAGGACTGAGGCCAGGACTGGGGCAAGGGGGACTGAGGCTAGGGGGACTGGGGGCGAGGACTGATGCCAGGACTGGGGCGAGGGGGACTTAGGAGAGGAGGACTGGGGCGAGGACTGATGCCAGGACTGGGGCATGGGGGACTAAGGCGAGGGGGACTGGGGCGAGGACTGATGCCAGGACTGGGGCATGGGGGACTGAGGGGAGGGGGACTGGGGCGAGGACTGATGCCAGGACTGGGGCATGGGGGACTAAGGCGAGGGGGACTGGGGCGAGGACTGATGCCAGGACTGGGGCATGGGGGACTGAGGGGAGGGGGACTGAGTCCAGGACTGTGGCGAGGGGGACTGAGGAGGGGACTGAGGCCAGGACTGGGGCACGGGGGACTTAGGCCAGGACTGGGGCAAGGGGGACTGAGACCAGGACTGGGGCCAGGACTGGGGCCAGGGGGACTGAGGCCAGGGGGACTGAGGCCAGGGGGATTGAGGCCAGGACTGGGGCCAGGACTGGGGCGAGGGGGACTGAGACCAGGACCGACCCTCATAACCGACCCTCGGTCCTGATCCTGATGAATGTGAATGGAAGCACTTTATTATGAAACAGATAAATGTAGATTTTTAGCCTTTGGTTTTTACAGAATCTCAAACTCTGTGAAAGTGTAAAGACGTTTTTGGAAAGATCTTTGAAAACTCCTGAAATCTTCCAAAAACAAACACAAAGAGAAAACCAAAATAGTGACACGAGCCCCGTTTCCACCAGCCCTACTCGGCCCTACTCGGCCCTACTTGGCCTGGTTGTGTTTCCATTACGCTTCTGGTCATCACGGTCAGTTAGCACACTTTAGCACCGGCTCAGGTCGCACTGAACCAGGGCCAAGAGGGACTAAAGAAGGACCAGGTGGGCAGAGTGGTGGTGTCCCTCAGGGCTCGACACTGGGGCCGCCATATTTTTCAGTGAAATAAAGTCGATGCAGTTTTCCGTGTTGTTTTTGAAGCTACTTTTATGCAACGTTTTGTTTGTTTGAATATTTAAAACCAGGAGCGAAACTAAAGAGACTATTTTTGATAAAAATAACGTTTATAAATCACTAAAAACTGTGATTTAAGGTTCAGAGTTGTTCTGTTTTTTTCTAATAACACAATGTGAACTTTTGTTTTTCTCGTGCACTTGTTTCAGATAATTTAGTCTTTTCTAATGTGTGTGTGTGTGTGCACTGAACTGTACAGCTGTGGAGGTCTTTTCTGCTGTTTTAAACCTATTCATCCTCTCCAGGTCTGCTCTGCGTTCACAACAGCTCTGTCTTTGGTTTTAGTTTGTGTGCATTTGGAGGCTCAAAGTAAAACTATAATATCACTGGTCTAAACACAGAGCAGACGAGGAGACGCTTTTGGACTTTCTTCTTGTGACTTTCATTTTTACTGTAAGACTTTCCTTCTGTATCTTTATTTAGTCTTTGACACGTTTTCGGGGCCGCAGCAAAAACCTCAGACTTTCTACTTTGTGTGTCGCAAAAACAAGTTATTTCCTGCTCTTCCTGGTTCTGGTTTCACCTCTTAATCCTCTTCATCCTCTTCATCATGTTTTTGTCTCTGTTTTGTTTTTCCATCCCCTCCGTCACCGTCTGTGAAATAAAATAATCGATCATCTTTGTCTCATCTTTTCTTTTTCTTTCCAAAAGGAGACGTATTCTGCAAAAGGACCTGTTTTAATCTATACTTACAGACAATATTATAAACTAGTACATACATATTAGTACATGAATATTAGTAGTACATGAAAATTAGCACATGAATATTAGTACATAAATATTAGTACATGAATATTAGTACATAGTGTTCAGAAGTTTGGGGTCACATTGAAATGTCCTTATTTGTGAAGGAAAAGCTGTAGATAACTTTAAACTAGTCTAAACTTCAAATACACTATAGATTGTTATGTGGTAAATTCAAGCTGCAAATGTTGTAATTGCTGCAAACGGAGGATTCTTTGACGAAAAGTTGGATGTAAAACAAATCATTATTTCTGACCTTGCCAATGTCTTGACTCTATTCATTTCACAACGTACAGTGGTGAACACTTGACCCCAAACTTTTGAACAGTAGTGTATGTGTGTAATGAACAGTCCATATGTAATTACATATATAAAAAATAAAAAAATTGTCCACTCACCTTTGGCCCTCCGCGGGCGGTTATCCCTCTCTAAGCTCGGGTCCTCTACCAGAGGCCAGGGAGCTTGAGGGTTCTGCGCAGTATCTTTGCTGTTCCTAGCACTGCACATTTCTGGACCGAGATGTCCGAGGTTGTTCCGGGGATCCGCTGTAACCACTCATCTAGCTTCGGGGTCACTGCCCCGAGTGCACCGATCACCACGGGCACTACTGTCACCTTTACCCTCCAGGCCCTCTCCAGCTCCTCTCTGAGACCTTGGTATTTCTCAAGCTTTTCATGTTCTTTTTTCCGGATGTTACCATCGCTTGGAATTGCCACGTCCACCACCACGGCTGTCCTCTGCCCTTTGTCTACCACCACGATGTCAGGTTGGTTTGCCATTACCATTCGGTCGGTCTGTATCTGGAAGTCCCACAGGATCTTCGCACGCTCATTTTCCACCACCTTTGGAGGAGTTTCCCACTTAGACCTTGGGGTTTCCAGCCCATACTCTCCACAGATGTTTCTGTACACTATGCCAGCCACTTGGTTATGGCGTTCCATGTAGGCCTTCCCTGCCAGCATCTTGCACCCTGCAGTTATGTGTTGGATCGTCTCAGGTGCCTCTTTGCACAACCGACACCTTGGGTCTTGTCTGGTGTGGTATATCTGGGCCTCTATCGCTCTGGTGCTCAGTGCCTGTTCCTGTGCAGCCATGATGAGTGCCTCTGTGCTGTCCTGTAGGCCAGCCCTTTCTAGCCATTGGTAGGACTTCTTGAGATCAGCCACTTCTGTTATGCTCCGGTGGTACATGCCGTGTAGGGGCTTGTTCTCCCATGATGGGCTCTCCTCCAGCACCTCCTCATCTCGCCACTGCCTGAGACATTCACTGAGTACGTCATCCGTTTTGGCCTTCTCCATGATGTAGTTATGGAGTTTGGATGTTTCGTCCTGGACAGTGGCTCTCACACTCACTAGTCCTCGGCCTCCTTCTTTACGGCTTACGTACAGTCTCAGGGTGCTGGATTTGGGATGGAACCCGCCATGCATGGTAAGGAGCTTTCGAGTTTTAACATCCGTGGTCTGAATCTCTTCCTTTGGCCACCTGATTATTCCTGCAGGGTATCTGATCACTGGCAGGGCGTAGCTGTTAATTGCCCGGGCCTTGTTCTTGCCATTGAGCCGGCTTCTTAGGACCTGCCTTACTCGCTGGAGGTATTTGGCAGTTGCCGCTTTCCTCGTCACCTGTTCGAGGTTGCCATTTGCCTGTGGTATACCGAGATACTTGTAACTGTCCTCAACGTCTGCTATTGTTCCCTCTGGGAGTGAGATCCCTTCTGTGTGGACTACCTTGCCTCTCCGAGTCACCATCCTGCTACATTTCTCGAGCCCGAATGACATCCCGATGTCATGGCTGTAGATCCTGGTTGTTTGGATCAGAGAGTCGATGTCTCTCTCGCTCTTGGCGTACAGCTTGATGTCATCCATGTAGAGGAGGTGACTGATCTTTGCTCCGTTCCTGAGGCGGTATCCATAGCCAGTCTGGTCAATTACTTGGCTTAGAGGGTTGAGGCCTATGCAGAACAGTAGTGGGGACAGAGCATCTCCTTGGTAGATACCACATTTGATGGTCACTTGTGCGAGCGGCTTGCCATTTGCCTCAAGGGTAGTCTTCCACATTCCCATCGAGTTTGCAACGAAGTCCCTTAGAGCCCTGTTGATATTGTACAACTTCAAGCATTCCATGATCCATGTGTGTGGCATTGAGTCGTAGGCTTTCTGGTAATCAATCCAGGCTGTGCACAGGTTGGTGTGTCGTGACCGGCAGTCTTGGGCGACTGTTCTGTCAACCAGGAGCTGGTGTTTGGCTCCTCTGGTGTCCCTACCAATGCCCTTCTGTGCTGTGCTCATGAATTGTTCCATATGCCCACTTATCTTAGCCGCAATGATGCCTGACATGAGCTTCCATGTTGTGGAGAGACAGGTTATTGGCCGGTAGTTGGAGGGGACTGCACCCTTGACAGGGTCCTTCATGATCAGGACCGTTCGCCCTTCGGTTAGCCATTCTGGGTGAGTCCCATCTCTCAGCAGCTGGTTCATTTGTGCTGCTAGGCGCTCATGGAGTGATGTGAGTGTCCTTAGCCAGTAGGCATGGACCATATCAGGGCCAGGTGCTGTCCAGTTTTTCATACCTGAGACTCTTTCTCGGATGTCTGCCTCTGTGATGGTAACTGAGTTCTGTTCTGGGAGGTGGCTGTGCTCCTCTCTCAGGGACACCAGCCATTGTGCACTTCTGTTATGTGCTGCATCCTTCTCCCATATGTTCCTCCAGAACTGTTCAGTTTCCAGCCTCGGTGGATCTGCTCCCCTGTTGTTACCCTGCCACTGAGCGTACACCTTCGCAGGTTGTGTTGCGAACAGCCTGTTCAACCTTCTGGCTTCATTCTCTTTAGTGTACCTCTGTAGGCGGCTGGCCAGGGCTATATATATATATATATATATATATATATATATATATATATATATATATATA